GCCTCATATTGTGATTAGTCTCCGCGGCTCCAATAGCGGCGCAAAAACCTCACATTGTGATTAGGCTCCTTAGCTACAGTAGTAGTGTAAGAACCTCATGTAATGATTAAGCTCCACAGCTGTAATGGAAGTGCAAGAACCTCACATTACGTTTAGGCTCTGCGGCTGCGATAGCAGTGCAAAGACCTCATATTGTGATTAGACTCCGCGGCTGCAGTAGCAGTGCAAGGGCCTTATGTTGTGATTAGGCTCCGCGGCTGCAATAGCAGTGCAAAGACCTCATGTTGTGATTAGGCTCCGCGGTTGCAATAGCAGTGCAAGGACTTCATGTTGTGATTAGGCTCCACGGCTGCAATAGCAGTGCAAGGACCTCATGTTGTGATTAGGCTCTGCGGCTGCAGCAGTAGTGCAAGGACCTCATGTTGTGATTAGGCTCCGTGGCTGCGGCAGTAGTGCAAGGACCTCATATTTGATGATTAAGCTCCGCGGCTGCAATAGCAGTGCAAGGACTTTATATCATGTTTAGGCTCCACGGCTGTTATAGCAGTGCAAGGACCTCATTTCGTAGTTAGGTCCGCGGCTGCAATAGCAGTGCAAGGACAATGTTCACGTTACTACATGACGCTAATTAACCGATTCTCGTTACAGCTATGTGGTCATTTCTCTATGTGAAAATGCAATAGATTATAAGGAGTATTTCTATATTATAATAAGAATGATGTAGTGCTTGTAATTGATAGCGAACGGGATCCCCATAAGTTTTTCCTTCGTTCAAATAAGGTCATCTGATTGAGCAATAATAAATGATGATCATGAAGGTACTGTATATAAAAATTTTTTTTTGATCTTTTTTAGATGTAGATCTTATGATCTTACCGTTTTTTTTTGAACCTTTTTTTTTAAAAAAAAACCTTGTTTTTCACCACCTTGAACTTAAATGTTTCCACTCAGAATTATATGTTGATCCAAATTCTCTAATTACAGTAGTTCTGATGAATTCATTATAATCAATGTCATAAATTTGTTGCTGGGAGATAACAGGCAGAGGACCTGTATGTGAATTCGCACGAAGGGGGCGTTTTTTTCTAAAAAGAAAATTGTTTAGAATCCGTATTTCAGGAAAAGTAAGGAGATAGCGTTATTAAGCAACTTTTTTTCTTATATCATTATTCACAGATTCAAGAATTAACTCGTTTAAAATGCTGTAAACAGATTTTATTTCTGAACATAT